CCCCATCCCTCCCTTTTTAAATTTGTCAGTACGACCCATATTCATTGCCTGAGTAGCCAAGATGTTCGAACTCACCTCAGCTATGCAAGGAAAATGAGTAAATTTACACACAACCCCCACTCTTTAAAACGTTCAAAACATCTTTAGCAGATATTCAGAAGCGCAACTAATACTTTGTTTCAGTAAAGAGACGCATTATATCAACCTCACAAAATAGTAATTAGGTGCAGATGGAAAAGTTAAACACGCAGGCACAACCCCCCCCCAGATCAGATGATCTTTTTTTTTTTTTTAGAAAAGAAGCAGAACCTACATGTCGACACAAAAATAAATGTGAGGCAGCGTGGTGAAATCAGGCTCTCGTCAATTTTGGGGCACATGGAGTTATTGGTATCATCTTAAAGCTTGTCCATTTGCCTTGCTTTGGATGAAAACAATATCGATTTATCTAGGATACAAGCCAAGATATTGGTGATTGAAGGAGGAGGGGTGGGCTTGTTTCAGAGGTAAAATTAGCTAGAAAATGGCCGCCAAAGTTGAATCATTTCTTAAGCTTGACAGCCCGTGGAAACTGAAAATTTACATCTCTTATGCCTTAAATCAACTGTTGTCAGCACAATCCACACAGAAATGTGTTCTATAAAAGGCATGAAAGGTGTTTAGCCAAAAAACGAAAATTCTATAAAAATTCCCAAACCTGCGGAAAAATACTAGTTTCTTCACTTTGCCTATTTTGACGAGAGCCTGATTCCACCACGTTGCCTCACAAATGGTTATTTACTGCATGGGAAAAGTAAGACAAGCAGACAGAAACAAAATATGGGATGATCTACATCTTTCAGAAAAGAAGTAATACCTACATGTCGACACAAAAAAGGGTAAATTAGAGCAGGAGAAAAGTGAGAAAAACAGACAGAAGCAATGCAATGATCAAGAGGTAAAAACCTACCAGTAGCGCTCTCCAACGACCCGCAGAATTAACTGTTATTTTTTCACGAGGACAGACATTTAGGTCAATGACAAACGGGATAAAATTTTTAATAGAATGGGCAGACGATAGGATACCAACACGCCCACCAGCCTCTGACAGAGACAGGAAACTCAACAGTACACAACGATGTGTCCGTATTGATACTTCAGTGCCCAGAAGAGAAAAACGAAGCCCAACTCACTGAAAGTACAATTTTTCCTTCGTTTGGAACTTACTTTGCTTACTAAGTACATCTGACCTGACCTGAATATCAATAATGTATTTATAGAGTATAGAGGCACCAGCCATCCATATCTAGGTGCTGTTTTAACCTCTTTCTCCTGTCTGTGAAGTATTTATTAATTTTTCTCTATTTGGTTCTACTTTTAAGCGTTAATGACAAGACCATCAATAATTTATTTATAGAGGCACCAGCAATCCATGTCCAGGTGCTGTTTTAGCCTGCGCTAATGACATCTGGGATCTCTTTTCTCTGGGAGGGGGGGGGGGGGGCTCTTTCAGACCGCCGAGACACCATTTGAGAATGATGCCTTCAATTCATTTTATAAAAAATGGGGAGAAAGGGAGGGGGGGGGGGTGTGACTTGCATTTAGTTTGAACTCTACATTATAATGAAGTCGTATTGACCCTCCAGTTCCTTCAATGCGAAAACATTAACAATGCTGCGCTAGATAAAAGTAAAACTTCGACACGCCCCCCCTCCTCCCCGCATTTCTTTAAATGACTTAAAAGCGTTTTCGCATAATATGAACTCACACTGCAATTAAACAATTGTCATTGAGTGGGGGTGCACATACAGGAACAAAGAGATAGTAAATCAAAAGTAGTGTTTACCAGTGTTGCTCAAGCCAGCCATAAACATTTGAAGTAAATATTTCAAGAGTGCATTTGAAAATGTATCTTGAAATCTCTTACCTTAATCAATTCATACAGAAATTAACTTGCTTTTTCTCTTGAAACGCATTCCATAAAAACCACATACTTTTCCGGAAATAATGGGATAAAAACCCAACCGAACACCTTTTCACAAGATTCCTTAGCAACAGAACCCATATATATATATCATGCGCGGGCGGTTAGTAAACACTCTAGAGTTGTCTGCCTCTTCTACTTCTTTCGGAGCTGCTTCTATTCTCGCCTGTTTCTGATCAAGCGCGGCCGTTATCGCGCGGACAGGGCGTAAACAACTTATTATCACCATCAATAGCACACAGCACTCACGTTACTACAACCACACGCCGCTACCTTCGGACATTTCTATTGATGACCGCAAGGAGAATTGGTTGATTTATACGATTGAGCTGCCTAATCGAAGAGACAGGGGGGGGGGGAGGAGTGGGAGAGGAGGTAGAATAAATAAGGTGGGGGGAGGGGGGCGCTGAGAGAGAGAGAGAGAGAGAGAGAGAGAGAGAGAGAGAGAGAGAGAGAGAGAGAGAGAGAGAGAGAGAGAGAGAGAGAGAGAGAGAGAGAGAGAGAAAGAGAGAGAGAAAGAGAGAGAGAGAAAGAGAAAGAGAGAAAGAGAGAAAGAGAGAAAGAGAGAAAGAGAGAAAGAGAGAAAGAGAGAAGTATGAAATCGACCAAGCAAAGCACGAGTGCAGCTGTTGCGTTGAGGGGAGGAACACGCACACAGAGTATGTAACGTGCTCGCCCGGCGTGACTGTGTCGTTCCCTTACTTCACGCTCACGACAAGAGGGAGGCGAAGAGACCCAGTGTGAGTTTGTTTGAGTTTGTTTGTCGATATTGGTTCTCGAGACGGGTGATTGGGTTTGCACATTTCGCTGTGCACTTTTGAAGAGTGGTGCTCGCTGGTGCGTGTATGTTAATTTGTTGATGTTTGGGAGGGCCGGCATAGCTGGTTGTTCATGCATGCATGTTGAGTGAGGGAGGGGGGTGGAGAGATGGAGAGAGATGAAGAAATGGAGAGATGGAGGAATGAGAAAGAGAAAGAAAAATAGAGAGAGAAAAGGGAGGGAGGGAGAGAGAGGGTAGAGAGGGAGAGAGAGAGAGAAAGAGAGAGAGAGAGGGGGGGGGGAGAAAAAGAGAGAGCGGAAGGGAGAGAGGGAGGGAAGGAGGGAAAGGGTATTACGATGATGTGTGGAATGTATCGATCTAAATACTTAGGCTGTCTCACCAATTTTTTTTTTTCATTTTATTTCTTTTCTATTCATTCATCTGTCTGTCTGTCTGTCTATCTGTCTGTCTGTCTGTCTGTCTGTCTGTGTGTGTGTGTGTGTGTGTGTCTGTCTGTCTGTCTGTCTGTCTGTCTGTCTGTCTGTCTGTCTGTCTGT